CCTGTGGTAGTCACTAGTCTATCACCCTTAAATCATTTGAATTAAATTGAAATCAAGAAGCAGTCCAGAACATGTCTGCAGTGAACAAAATTTCAATATAGTGTATTTACCATTTAATGGCTCAGACAGAGCGAGGATGCAAAACCCCTGATCTCAGTTAGCTGATTGCTGAACCCCCTGACGCTGACTGACCTCAGGCTGCAAGGCCCACATTGAGATCCCCATCCTTCTGAATGGTTGAACTCCACAATGTTCTATTACAGGTTTCCCACGCCCTTTCTTTAAAGATGTTCAAAGTTGGGAAATCAGAGAAATACCCTTGATGACCACCTCTGTCTTTGCAGAGTGGGTCCAAAGACTGGCACAGTCAGGAGGTCGGAGAGTGCGGGGGGCGGGGCTTATGGGGGTTCAGGCGCGCCCGCACAGCTACCTTCCCGGCGCTTGATCAATGGCTGCTGGGTCGGGAGCAGGCATGGTTCTCCTTCCCGCGGTGGATCGGCCCGGAGGCCGTGAGTTTGAGGCCAGCCTGGGCTGCATAGTGAGACCCTGTCTCAGAAATAAAATACCTCTGTCTTTGCAGAGTGGGTCCAAAGACTGGCACAGTCAGGAGGTCGGAGAGTGCGGGGGGCGGGGCTTATGGGGGTTCAGGGGCGCCCGCACAGCTACCTTCCCGGCGCTTGATCAATGGCTGCTGGGTCGGGAGCAGGCATGGTTCTCCTTCCCGCGGTGGATCGGCCCGGAGGCCGTGAGTTTGAGGCCAGCCTGGGCTGCATAGTGAGACCCTGTCTCAAAGAAATAAAAAATAAATAAATCAGCAAATCTAAAAAGTAATCCAGTTTAATCTCTGAAGACTTAGCCCTTTCTATTATCTCATACATTATGCTAGCTTCTAATAGTATGTAAAGCTTGTATGTATAATATAGTGAGCGTCCAAATAGGTTGATCTACTATGCTTTTGTTTTTCCTCATAATCCTAAGTATGATTCTTTAACCCTAGAAGATACTAAAAACTATATTCATTGATTGAGTAAATGAATCCTGTACATTAAAAACATGTTTTTCTTCAGAGTTTATAAAGAAGTCTTAATTGCCTCTTCCTACCCCCAAGTTTATCTTCACAGTTTCATTTCCAAATGTCTGCAGATGAGGATATCTGTAAAGATGGTAGACACATTGTAGCCTACTCCTTTTCTTTACATAGCTTTGTTTTGTCTTGGTTTTTATTTTCCTATATCTTGAAGTTACATTTGAATTTTTTCATTTTTGCATTTCAGTAGTTGACATATGAATTACAGTGGAGTCTGATGAATATTGAGTGTGTTTTCTTTCCTGTGGTAGTTCAGAAATATTTATCAAAGACTTTCATTTGATTAAGTAATAGCAATTATGTTGTGGATTGAACTTTTATATAAAAAATTTCAAACTCATAAACTTAGTTATGAGCATTAAGTATATAACTTGTACAGATTTAACCATTATTAGTTTTTTTCGGGGAGTGAATAGAAATAATAGCTTTAATTTGTAATTATTTGTATGTTATACATAATTTTGAAAATAAGGTATATATTTGTGTCAAGGATGATTATATCTACTTTAATAGTTTTAAATGCTTTATGTAAAGTGTGCATAATTTAAGTGTAGTTTTGATGAAAATACAGAATGAAATTTGCATATTATAAGTGTTTCCATTTTAGAGCATGTCAAAAGAATAAGCATAGTAATTTGAATGCTCTATTTTTATTTCTAGAAACCAGCAAATATCCTAGTAATGGGAGAAGGTCCTGAGAGGGGGAGAGTCAAAATTGGTAGGTAATTATTCATAAAATAATTTATCAAGAAACTAAAGTGACTACAGAGGTGATTGCCCTTTTTAATACTCTTATTTAAGTAGTTAATTTTAAAGTTACTTTCTCTTAAGTTTTTGGATAAGTAGGCATATAGTGTATAAAACCTGTAGCCTTTTCCCCAAAATTAGACTCTGTAATTCTCTTAAGTTAAGGCATCCCTTGGAATTGACAAGCAGGTTCCCCCAAAATTCACTATTGTGTCATAGCCCAAGCTTGTGAGTACATTAGGACCATTGTCTGTAGTAGTTATCCTAAGTATAATTATCTAAATCGTATTTTTTATTGTAGCATTACCAAATGTTCTCTCCCTGAACACATCCTCCTGACCCTGACCTGACAGTACCCAGGGACCTTTAGAGGTTCCACCCACTTCAGTACCCCTGGCCTGCATGTCCTGTACCAGGTACTAACATACCCTTTCCGAATGAGTCTTTATGTTTGTAGCCACTCTTATTTGCCTATCTTAGTTTAAGACACTTTTAAGGAGTTTTTTTTTTTTTTTTTTATCTGTATCTGTTTAAGGAGTCTTTTATCTATATTGAGATTTGCTTTGCAACCCTGGACATTCCAAAAGAACTTCATTTACATCTGGAGAGAAAATGAGCTAAGTTATGTTTTGTTCTAAATTCTTTTAGTAGAAATTGCACTGATTGAACCAGACATGGTGTTGCACACCTGTAATCCCACTACTGAGGAGGCCAAGGCAGGAAAATTGCAAGTTCAAGGCCAGCCTGAGTATATAGGGACACTGTCTCACAAAACAAAGAAGAAAAGGAGGAAAGGAGAGAAGAAGTTATATTTATTGAATTATCAGTGGTTTATTAGAAGGATTTAAAAATAAATTTTGTTTTATCGGCCTGCTTTCTTCACTATTAAAATACACTATGACAGAGATGATTTGCTAAATTGATCTACTATGAAGTCATGCTTTCCTAATTCAACCTAGCCTGTCCTGCTGCTTGTTTTTTTTACTTCTTCAGTTACTTCCTTAGTCCAGTTTCTGAAGAAGCTGTCCTAAACTGACTTACCCTTCATTAACTCTCTATTCTGAGTTTGCTAAGATTGAGCTTCATTCAAAAATGTATATTAAGCCAGGCATGCAGTGCATTCCTGTGATCCCAGCCCTCCGGAGATTGAGGCAAGAGGCTCGCTGTGAGTTTGAAACTAGCCTGAGCTAAATAGCAAGACACTGCCTCAAAGAAACCAAAGTAAAAAACCAAAATGTGATGTTAATTAAGTACGTGGTAGCTGCTTTCCTTCTCTTCCCTTCCCCTCCTTTCTCTGCTCTACTCACTTGTTTCTATTTTTATTTTATACTCAAAATTCTTTTTCTTACAGGTTATTTATTGAATAGCTGCTTTTTGCCAGGTACAAGTGAAAAAGAGGTATATGGCCCCCTCTTTGATACACAGTAAAATATAAACAGTGCACTAGATACTTTCATACCTCTTTATTTTATATAACCATCCTTTAAAGGTAGATGCAGTAGATAAGGAAAGCTGGATTTAGAGAAGTTGTAGCTTGCTCAGTTTTTCAAAGCTAGGATTTGGATTCCTATTCCTAAGAGCCTCTACAAACAAGGCCACCTTAGTGATATCAGAGAGGACACGTGTGGCTTCACAGACCTTCACTCTGTCGACACAGCTTTGCCTTTGAAAAAGCTTTAGAGAGCAGGCTGGGGATTTAGCTCAGTGATACCGCCACCTGCCTGCCTCACAGTTGCAAGGTCCGAGTTCAATGTCCGGTACAAAAGAAAAGAGCTTCAGAGAGCAACTTTTCCTTTTATAAGTCCTACCTACTAGTACCCTTAGTAGCTTTGAAATGTCTTCTGCCCTACTTAAATTCCCCCTGCTACAGTATTGCCATTTTCCCCTTCTCAGGTTTCTATTCTTTCTTTTAAACTTTCATATTTCTCTTCCCAATTTAAAATAAATCTTGTATCCATCTTGTTTTCTTCAGCATTTGTTTTCTTCCTTTTATTCTGTACTTCTGGAATACTCTTGATGTTCACCCTGTGATTCCACTTACCCTGATTTATTAAAATCCAGCATCTAATTCCATCTCTGTATAAACACCTCTTTCTAAAAGAACAGCTATGATCTCCGTCTTACCAAAGCTAGTAGACTGTCTTTTCCCGTGGTTTGTACGACATTGTATAATTTTGGTTTTTTACCTGCAAATTCTGCTGTCACTTTATTATTGCCTCTTATTCCTGTTAACCTGTTTCAAAAACACTCGAGAAACTAGCTTGGAGCATAGCTTCCCATTACAGTTATTACTTCACTAAGCAATTGATAAATTGTGGCCTCAAAATTTTGGATTCTTTGAAAATGATTCTAAGATCTGGATCTCTAGTCTCTCACTTTAGCTGAATTCTTTGTGTCCTCCTATTCTCCTTGGTCCCAAACCAAATTCATCATCATCTTATATTCTCTTATTTGTACCACTCAATACATTCATCTCATTCGCACCAATCTGAGGTCTTCTGTCTTTACTATTTTTTCAGTGGTCAGGCCCGTTGTTACCTTATTGTTAGTAGTTTTAGGATTGTAATTCTACCCAAGATTAGGGACACACCAGGGTTTAGAATAAGCAATAATTAATAATAAAGGCTTATGATCTGAGGGTTGACTAAATGCTAATAATTTTCTTCTGATAGCACATGTTAAATTACTATTTTTCGCAATGCTAGGGATGACCCAGGGTTCCACATTTACTAGATGAGAGGTCTGCCACTGAGCTACACTCGTAGCCCCAGAATTACTGATTTTTTAAAAATGATGTGGGGCCAAGCCTGGTGATACATGAGTATAATCCCAGCACTCAAGTGGCTGAGGCTGGGGCATCTGGCCAGCCTGAACAATATAGCAAGATCCTGTCTTTAAAAATAAAACAAAACAAAAAACCCACAAATAAAAGAGAATGATATGGCAGCTGAGGAGATAGCTCAGTGGTAGAATGCTTGTGTCGAATGTTTGAAGCCCTAGATTTGATTCCCCAGCACCATAAAATTAGTAAATAAAAATCAATAATACTGATGCCTATGCTAATGCTTTAATATAGTTTCTACTTTGGCTCAGAAAAATTACATAACTGAATGGAAAACACATGGTACCCTTTTCTGTATCTGAACCTTTCCCTCCTCAGCAAACCAAAGACTAAAATGCTTACTTCCTTTTTTACCATTTACAAATAATAACCCCTCAGGATCCAGCTCAAGTTCCGCTTTCTTTTTCTTTTAATGGTTGAATTACATCTCAGTGAAGCTGTTTTTATTTTCTTTTTAAAAATAAATTTAATCCCATTCCCTCCATCTAACTCCCCTCCCCTCCCTATATACAAAAGCTTTGTTTCTATTCAGTTTAGTCTACTTCTACAAGTGTTTATTAAACATCACTTTAGGTAACACCTTGGAAAAGAAATAAATCCCCTGCCAAGGAATTTAGCATTTAGTAGAAAACAGTAGCAGATCCCTTATTCTCACATTATTTATTATCCCTGTATTGTGTTGGATCTATTCCATGTATTTTGTTAAGCTCCTTGGGTGGTAGACCTTGTGTGTTACTGCTTTTTTTTTTTTTTCCTGTTCCATACTGTCAAATTAGTACACAAACTAGAATTCTGCTACCCCTGTTTAATTGAACAATTTCAGCTACATCTAATTTGAAAGTTCATACAGTGGACACAAATTGTTTTTAAGAGTATTGGTTTTCTTCTGGCCTTGATTTTATCTGGTAGTGAATAGATGAGGGTCAAAAGAAAGTAGGTAGAAAATAAGAGGAAAGATTACTGATTTTAGCCTTTTAAAAATGCTTTTTGCTAGGTGTGATGGTTCATGCCTTATAAGCACAGCACTCAGGAAGCTGAGGCAGGAGGATGTTAAGTTCATGCCCACTGGGCTACATAGCAAGTTCAAGGCCAGACTAGACTACATTCTACTGAGAAAAACAAAAAGATAGAAGGAGTAAAAAGAATTGACATTGTTATGCACATCTACCAACTCTCCCTGAGAGTTATTATGTACTAATAAAAATAAATAAAATTGCTTCCCAATATGCTTGACAGAAGGAAAAAATTTCCCCACTGATGAAACAGCATTCCATCATCCTTTGCCATTAGCAATAATCAGCATCTGATTGTTTAATCTGGTTTATCACAATTACTTTCATATATGTGATGGCATACTTGCCATCAACAATAATAAGTGCCTATTAAATATACAAAACAGTGCTTTGAATATTGTGTAATATCTTAGAATAGCAGCTGGAATATTGGTAAAATGATGGAATGTTTTTGTTTACTTTAGGGAACTTTAGTTTAAAAAGAATAGGCATCAGCATAGATTTCCTTGGATTTTAAGACCTTGTTTTTTAAGACCTGATGCCTCAATTCTCAGAAAGTCTCCTTAAATTATTTAAACTCTAAAAACATAATCACAATAAATTTAAAATAAGATGCATTTTATATTGTATCACATTACTTTTACATTAGATGATACTGTATATACTTGAAGCTGCCTTTAATAGTACTTTGGGACCCCCTATATACTCAGAATGCACTGTCTATTTTATATATTTCCAACTTCAGAGGTTTATTATTTTTGTAACTTTGCCTTTTTGGCTTACAGTTACCATATGTATAACTTACTGGATGCCAAATCAGTTGATAAAAGATTAAGGGTGAAGTCCTAAGTAATATGATTTTTGTTTGAGTACTGACATCATGGCTTACTGTCCCTGTGAGCATGGGCAGGTCATTTAACTACTTTAGACCTTAGGTACTTCACCTAAGTAGTAAATTAGGAACAAAATGCTTATTTAGCTAGTGTTTTTGTAAAGATGAAATGAAATGATCTATGATATATATGAAAGGCATTTGTAAATTATAGAGTGCTTTATAGTTTATGAAATCTCAAAAAATTGGTTTGTAAGCCTTATAGTTTAAACATTTTTCTTTGGGACTGGGGATCAAACTTGGGTCCTTGCACTTGCGAAGCAGGCACTGGAACCACTTAGCTAAATACCTGGCCCTAAACATTTTTCTTAGTAGTTTTATATATCCCAGTGTTTAAATCAGTTACTTTTGGGTTAGACCTTTATTAAGTTCTGAAATAAACAACTTCTTCTTTTTTTTTTTTTGTGGTACTGGGGATCGAACTCGGGTCCTTGCGCTTGCATGGCAGGCCACCGAACCACTGAGCTAAATCCCCGGCCCTAAACAACTTCTTTATGTGTCCTATGCATGTTCTTGGAAATAGGTGTGAGGTGATAGTTACTTTTCAGTAATGACCCTCTGAGGGGAGAGTTCCAATTTGTGGCATTTGTTGTTTACCGTGATGTAAATAAACTCACCAACACCAATTCAGGTTACCAGTATGCACTCAGCAAGTGCAGAATCAGTGAACTGTGTAGGAGCTGGCACCAGCACATGCCACGCTGAGATGCAATTAGTTCATAGGTGTGCATGATATGCAGAAGTCGTATTAATTATAAAAGGTTTTTAAAACTAACTTTAGATGTTAAAACATTGAAAGTATTTATAAATATCTCTGAAAGGGAGGAATCTGAAGTCAGACCTGTGTTCTAAACCTGACTGAACCTACTGTCTCTGAATCTTGAGAAAGTCAGTGTCCCTTTGAGAGCCTCAGTTTCCTCCCCAAACAGGCACAATAGTAGGATCTACCTTAGGAGGCGCTGATAAGAGATAAAGAAGTAATACCCACATGATGCCTGGTGTAGCTGATTTTTTCCCCAAAGGAAAAGTATTGCTTTTATAAGGTTGGTGGCTATTTTTATCACCTTTGAATGATTCTAATAGAATGTCAAACTGAGTTTTGTATTTATTTTTTATTTTTTAGCTGACATGGGTTTTGCCAGATTATTCAATTCTCCTCTAAAGCCACTAGCAGATTTGGATCCAGTAGTTGTAACATTTTGGTATCGGGCTCCAGAACTTTTGCTTGGTGCAAGGCATTATACAAAGGCTATTGGTAAGTTAGTCTACAATGATTTACTATCTTGGCATCAAGCTTTTGTGAAAACCAACCTGCATAATAAAACCATTGGGTAAAAAACTATTTTATCTCTGTTTGTAAATTTCCTGTTGTTTTCTATGTTTCTAAATTTTATATTTTGGTAAATTTGAATTTTTAACTGTATAGGAGAATGTGATTCTTTTAAAAGAAGAAAACATGAGTTCAGTTGCTTTGGAAAAAATAACGTGCAAATTTTATAACTTCCCTAGCTTATTGATTAGAAGAACTAGAGATAGGTTGAGAATGGTTTTCTTCATAAAAAGAAATACAGAAAATCAGGGGTAGTAAATCCAGTGTTGAAGAGAACTTCTATTTGGGGAAACTGAGTTACCTCCTTTCCTAAGCAAGAAATATGACTCATCTTTATTTCTTGCCATGATAGTTATCAGAATGGCAGTTTCTCTATTAAGGTAGGAAATAGTCTGTGTAGATTAGCTGTGCTCAGCAGCTTACCATTTTACCAAGGAGGGGAAATAAAGTAGAAAACCTGTTGTAAGTCAGGTATAGTATGCCTGTAATCCTAGTACTTAGGAGGCTGAGACAGGAAGGTCCCTTAAGTCTAGGAGTTTGAAACCAACCTGGACAGAAAAACAAGACACTGTTTCAAAAAAATACTGTTACGAACACATACTCTAGGTTTTAATATCTACCTTATGGTAGAGTCTTCAGAGATTTTGCTGCCTGGTCACTGCGATGTCCTCAGAGGACCCAGCAGAAGAGAGCCTTGCCAAACCTGGAGATTTCTTTGAAGGGAATAAAACAAAGGGTAGGAAGAAGAGCAAACAGTCCTACTCAAAGGTCTAGTTCTGTGAAATACCTGCATGTCCTGAGTGCATTCCTTTAAACTGCCCTCTTTTGGGAATCTTGTGTTCATTGGTGTTAGGCTAATGTCAGTTTTGACTGCCTTTAACTGTTTTTTTTGAATTCTGCTTAAAAGGGCATTAAAATGTGTTATTAAAAATAGACAAGTAAGTACAGTCCTTTCTCTGTTAAATAAGCTTGTGAAGAACCTGGTGACATCCACAGGTTTACAAAGGAAGAGATCATATTTGGAAAGATGAGACTGATTCATGGGTAAGAAAGAAATGCAGGTTAAAATATGGTCATGTCCTCATTTATCAGGAGGTCTTATTTCTGCAAAACCGACTCTAGAATAGTACTAGAATATTGTAAATATTTCGTAAATACTGCTAAATGTTGTTTTTAGGGTAGTTGGTTGTTTTTATAGTGATGACTATTGAATCCAGGGCTTTGACACTAAGCTATATCCCTAGCTGTCTAGCCCCTCTCCTCTCCTCTCCTCTCCCCTCCTTTTCCCTCCCTTTCTTTCCCCTCTCTTCTCTTTTCCTTTCATTTCCTTTTTCCTTCCTTCCTTTCTTTTTCTTTTTTTATTATTTAGAGAATACTTTTATTAGTTTCTGTAATCAAACCCAGTAAGCCCTTACGTATTTAATACAGCGTGCTACCCCTGTACAAATGAAAAAAAAAAGTTTAACATTTCTAGACCAGTATGTCTGTTAATTTCTGTACAATGCCAACTCAACACAGTGAACTGGGATGACTTTTTCCAAAGTTGACAGCACAGTTAAAGTTTCCAAACATTCAAACATATTTATGTAAAAAGACCAATAATAGCAGTATGTTATGCATCAATAGCATCAATAGTTTTTCCAGGTTCTGCAGTCATCGGAACAAAATTATAGAGACATCCAGCACACTCCATTTAAAAAGAAAGAAAGAAAAGAAAAATACCCAAAAAACAGCAAAATTCTGTTACTATTGTGGTACCTGGCACCATTTTTTTCCCATCGGCTTCTTAATCATCATCTGGAAAGAAAACCTTCTGGAGTAACATCATTAAAAACAATTCTGATAAAGCATGCTCACTACTACGTATCATAAAGCAGGTACAAGATATTTTACATTCACAGAGGTATGATACAGTACTGTCCTACATCTATAATACTAGAGGATACACTTAAAAAGGCATTATTTCAGACCTGATTCTACTTTTCCAGTAGAGGGCCCAAAGGGTGATATGACCCAGCTTTGTAGAAATGTACTTTCTTAGATAGGATTTCCTTTCATTAATGGCACAATTTAATTCTCTTCGTGAACATCAGCTAAAAAACATTTTTTAAAAATCTGGGTAAACACAAAACTATAGAAAACTAAAAAGATTCCTACAAAGATGACTGAGTGAAAGCAAGCCAGACTCAACCTAACTAGTGTTTTATCAAATCTGTCCTGTCTGGAGGGTGAGGGCTCCACTGAAGGAGATGCCAGGCAGCAGTGCTTCAAAGCTTCGGACCACACCCCAAACACAGTACCCTATCAGAGAAGTAGTAGGCAGAATCACTCATTCGGGTATGTTCACGGACGCCAGCATCAGTATTTAATCCTCTGCTCGCTCATTCAGGAAGAAGGGGAGATCAGTTCTTGGTGTACTGTGATTTTGTTCAACCCAATCACCATGTTACAAAAATAGCAAACTGCCATGGAAAAACATAAGGCTCCTCCATCCAGCACCAGTTATCTGCAGTTCTTCTGTCTTTCCTTTCCCTTTTCTGTTCTCTCTCTCTGTTCCTTTCATTTCTTTTTGTTTCTTTACTTTCCATTCTTTTCCTCTCCCTCTCTCCATCCCCCCGCCCAGGGTCTTGCTAATGTCCTCAGGCTGGACTTAAACTTGACAGTCTTCCTGCCTCAGCCTCCCAGAGTACTGGGATTTCAGAGGTGCAGCACCATGCCTGGCTTGAATCCTTTTTTAAAAATTATAATTATTATTCGGAGTAGTCTCATAACTGTGAGGAAAATCAGTACGTGCTTGACAGTAAAGGAATGTGGAGATTGACATTACCCTCTTATCCAGGCAGTCAGAGCCATAGTAAAGCAGCAGATATCAGGCTGCCAAGGCCACACTGTCAGCCGAGGATGGTGGCAGCTATCTGCGGAGGGTGAAGAACTACAGAAAGCAAAGGCAAAGGATGGAGTAGCCCCAGAATGAGGTGCCAAGATCAGAGCTTGAATCTCTACATTCCAAGAGACTTTTATTATAGGGCTGTATTTTGGAGACTTTTAGAATTAAAAGTTTGCCTTTTGTGTTATTTTGATCTCTTCTTTCCAACTGTTGGTAACAGTCTAATCCCTTAGTCTCAGAAGGCATCAGAGAGTAGGATAAGAGTGAAAATAACCCAGGGAAAGGAGGCATGTTAGTTGGAAATAACATGTGATGCCTTACAACAGGCCGAATGGTGGACAACCATGAGGCATGGGGTGGGGAACAGAATAAGCAGTATCAATAGAAATCCATATCCCTTTGGTCCTCATCTACCACCCTACAGTCTGTATCTAGCAAGGAGATTTCCATTTAAAAAGGCATATTCACCCAAAACCTCTGTTAAACTCTGATTCTCCGCCAACATCAGTGTCATTCTCAGATTCTTACACAGCAACTCCATGGTAAGACCCACTTTTAACATGTACTCTTAGTAGTGTTGTGTGATGCACACTTTGAGAAGCACAGTTTTATGACTATTTTCTGATTAATTTCTGTACTGGTAAGATTGAAATAGGTGTAGATTTGGAAATAGAGTTGAGTAGCTATAGTTCCCATTTCCTTCGAGTAAGAACTGAAATTAAATTTTAACCAGCTTGCAACTTACTTGCTCAGTAAATGAGGCTTACCATTTAAAGATAAAAACATAATCACTAATTTCTAATTTTATTCAAGTCCCAATTACCCAATCTCAGTAGAACCTAGGAGAAAAGTCAGAGAAAAAGAATAAGCCCTATGTCAGTTATCTTTGAGCTTGAAATATAGTCATAGCAGATATATATGAGTACACACGTATTCATTCTGTTCTTCATAACTGATCGTGTCAAAAGTTAGTTATTTCTGTTCAGCCCATGGGAAAAGAATTTAATGGCTTGCTATCACTGCAGTAACATTCAATGGGGGAGGGTAGTAGCAGTGATGACAGCTCTATGGTATGAGTGGGTGAGTGGGTGGGTGGATGTGATGTGGGTCAGGAGAACAAATTACTGACCTAGGAAAGAGATCTCAAGAAGTTGTTATAAATGTTGCAAGAGCTAGATGACCTTTTAAAATTTAAAGCTAATATGAGGCAGAGGACTGGGGATTTAGCTCGGTGGTGCAACTGCTGCCTCAAAAACACAAGGACCCAAGTTAAATCCCCAGTAACTGCCCCCCAACTAAGGCAGGAAACAATATAACATGCTACTCTGAGGTTTCTTATCTTAGCAGCTTGCATGGAAATCTAGATTCTGGCTCCTTTGAATAGAGCACAAAGCAGGAATTGGAATCACCAACAGCATACAGTAATAGTCCCAGGTAATATATAGTAAAGGCAGCAAGGAGGAAAAGACATGGGACCATCAGGGGCAATGATGACAGCCAACATAATGTGGGTGTGAGAAAAGGAAAAGTAGACCTTGTGCAGTATCAGTGCTGTACTCTGCAGTGATGGACGTTGATGATGATGATGACCTCAGCTGTGTCAGTGAGGAAGATTGTATTTTATAGCCTTCTGTCATGGTAGGTGATGGTATAATAAAAAATGGTTATGAAGGAACATGTTCCCACTATTCAGATGGCTAACATGTGGAAGGAAACCATTTCTGAATGGGGTTAGATAAATGAAGCATTACTATATGGGGATCCCCCCCCACAGTTTGGCAATTTGTTTTACAAAATAGTACATTGACAATTATCCTATCTAATGGACATAATTGAGTTCTTCCAATTTAGCTTATCTACAGAATATGGCTACAGAATATCTGATAGGCTGCTGAATGCTATACTTTTCTGTGCAATACCATATTCCTAGCATTAATATTTTCTTCTTTTTAAAAATACTTAATAAATAAAATACTTTTTAGTGGGCAAATGTGAATATACATCTCACAAAAGTTAGTTCACTTGTACATTTGGCAAAGCATTGTGAACACAGTATCTCAGAATAAAAATTGTAGTCTTTCAGTATATAAAACCCAATAGAATAATCTATAATGAGTGACTTAAGTAGTTAATAAAACCTTATTTTGCCACGTTGGAGATCAAATCCAGGGCCTTGAGCATGCTAAGCAAGAACTGCACACTGAGCTACATCCTAATAAAACTTTTCCTCCCCAGGAAAACTTTGAAAGATACCTCACTTTGTTCTGGGGAATGGAAGCCAAGAAGTATATCATCTTAAGTGAATATATTTTGATTAGATATATGTACCAGTGTTATTCTGTGCCTGTATATACTTGTATTACTTATCAACTTTTAGACCTTAGTCAAAAATACTGAGGCTGGCGGTCTGTTAGATGAAAATTTTTCCAAATCCTTTTACTGTCTTTCTAGACTCAAACCCTGTTTAGTCTCAAAACTTATACATTACTCTTATCATTGTGCATTTAATTGTTTTAAAGGAATTATAACGCCATGTCTGATGATGATATTGATTCATACTATTAGATCTGAGTATTATGCCTTATACTAGATTATTAGTCAAATGCTTCAGTGACTGAATTGTTTTTTTTTTCCCTCATTGAGTTTATTGGTACATTTTAGGTATACAGTATAGTTACGTTCATTATTGGGATCTTGTACCTTTACATGACAGGTCTTGGTTCTCATTTTTTCCCCTTGTCCCTGCCCTCCCCTCCCCACATACAAACATTTTATTTCCATTTTTTCATTTTCTCCTATTTTTTTCCTTTCCTTATTACCTTTCCCCTACCCTTCCTACTTTCCCTTCACCTTTAGCCCCTTTCTTCCTGTTTCACTCAGTGACTAAATTATTAATACTGATTAGAAAGTTGTTTTTTTTTTTTTTTTTTTTTTTTTTTTTTTTTGCTAAATCTAAAAATTTTTTGGATGATAGATCTTGGGAAGTAGGAAGAAAAGAAAATGTTCAAATGGGAAGGGGGAACAAAGGAAGGGGATGGCGAAGAGAAGGAAGGGAATAGGGATTTTTAAAAATTTTTTAAAAGAATGGAAGGAAAACAGTAGAAACAATGTTTTTTGGGGGGGGGTTTGTTTTTGTTTTTGATACCAGAGATCGAACTCCGGCCCTTGTGCTTGTGAGGCAGGCGGTGGAACCATAGAAACAATGTTTTGCAAAGGGAGAGGGGAAGAAGGATTGAAGGGAAGGGAGAAGAATGGGGGAAAAATTAAGATACGTGCAGATATAAACTCCCTATGATAAGTGTGATCATTATGTATGTCAAAAGTGTACCAATAAAATTATTTTTTTAAAGGGGGGGGTGTCATTTTTTTCACTGCTTGCCTTGCAAGCACAAGGACCAGAGTTCAATCCCCAGTACCAAAGAAACAAAAAAACAAAAAAACCCCAAAAACAATTGTTTCTATTGTTTTCCTCCATTCTTTTTAAATTTTTTAAAAAAATCCCTATTCCCTTCTTTCCTTTTTTAACTGAGTAGGTGGTACAGGCCTGTATCTTACCACTTGAAAAGATGAGGCAGGGAGGGACCAGAGTTCAAGGCCAGCCTGGACTAGATGTGAGGCTCAAAAAACAAAAGAGAAAAAGAAAAAGAGGCCATTGCTTGTCATGTTGCTTTTTCCTAAGTTTATCTACATGAGGAAATTTACATGTAAATGTTTTTCTTGGCTTCCAATCTGTTAATGTGATGATATAGTTACTTCATGTCACATCTATATTGTATATGTTTCCTTTAATAGATTTTTATACTTTGTATATTGTTTTATTGAAAAGTGTTCTTTTATTTATATTGGAATTATACCAGGAATTTTAACTAGGGAAATGTGATACATTTGTACAAAAACTTGATTTTTCTGCTTCATAGATATATGGGCAATAGGTTGCATATTTGCTGAATTGTTGACTTCAGAACCTATTTTCCACTGTCGTCAGGAAGATATAAAAACAAGCAATCCCTTTCATCATGATCAGCTAGATCGAATATTTAGCGTCATGGGGTTTCCTGCAGGTAATGTATTTTCCTTTTCAAAATTATATTTTCAGTTATATTTCAAAACATTCCTTTTCTAAATGTCTATTTTTAAATTAAAATAATTTAAATTAAAATAATTCAATTTAAAATAAAATTTAACATGTTATTTTCTATAACAATATTCAATTTGTTTTTCTTTTTTTTGGTAAGATAAAGACTGGGAAGATATTAGAAAGATGCCAGAATATCCTACACTTCAAAAAGACTTTAGAAGAACAACGTAAGTAACTCTATTGTCCTAGTCCAGTGGTGGCAGACCTATGGCACGTGGGCTGTTTGTATCATCGAAAGCTCTAAAAAAGCCATCACTGTCTTGGTCCATTTGTGCTGCCATTTAAAAAGTACATTAGGGTTGCAGTGGTTCTGCTGCCTGCCTCGAAAGTGCAAGGACCTGAGTTTGATCCCCGGTACCCCCCAAAAAAAGTACATTAGACTGAGAAATTTATAGACATCAAAAATGTATTTTCTCACAGTTCTGGAGGCTGGGAAGTCCCAGCTCAAGGTGCTAGCAAGTTCAGTGTGCGGTGAGGGCTTCTCTCTGTTTCCACATTGATGCTGTGTGAAGCTTCTTTAATGAGACATTACTGGCATTCATGAGGGCAGACCCCTCCTTGACCTGATGACCACCTGAGGGTACCAACTGCTAACTCTGTTGCATTGGATGTTAGAGTTCAACTAATTGCGCAGGGGACACAAACATTCAGGCCATAGCATTAATTATAGTTCATGACCTCAATGAGAAAATTTAAACTAAACTTTTAAAAAATGAGTTGTAAATTAATCAGAAATTTAGATTTTAGTGTGTTAATTATGCTCATTATTTAAAGACCAGATGCAGTTAACATACTTAATTTAGGCTATAGTATTTAGAAACTTAAGAGTTTTAGGGTCAGCAGATAGTTTAAATGTCTGTTCTGTTTAGTGTGATAAAGATCTCAGTTCGTGGCCATAGTTGTGGATCTGTTATTATCTGAGTGGCTGACAAGAAGGGAGGCAGAAATAACACATGACCCAGGATGTGAGTAAAACAGACTGTTAGAGACGTGTGTTGAGCAAAGAGGAGAAGAAAGGTGAAAGGTGATGGAGGGAGAGAGGGAGGGGAAGTTATTAACATATACACCTAGACTGGGCATTGTAGCGCACACCTGTAATCCCATTACTCAGGAGGCTGAGGCAGGAGTTTGCAATGAATTTGAGGCTACTTGGGACTACATAATGAATTCAAGGTGAGCCTGAATTTAAAAAGAACAAAATCAAAAATCTAGAGATGCAGTTATAGATATATCCTAATTCCAGCTACTCTAAAGCTGAGGTAGGAGAAGACTGCAAGTTCAAGGCCAGCTTGGGCAACTTAGTGAGACCTTGTCTCAAGATATTAAAAAGAGGCTGGGGGTGTAGCTCAGCAGTAGAGCACCTGCCTAGCAAGGCCCTAAGATCAATCCCTAGTACTGAAAAAGCAAAAAACAAAACCAAAGCAGCCAAAGTTATAAACACACACACACACACACACACACACACACACACACACACACACAGCAAAATTATTAAAAATGAAAATATTGAGTGTTGGCAAGAATACAATAGAATGGGCTCTTGCATTCTGTTGAGAATGGGTACTTCTCAAACTCGGAAGTACCTACAAATCACTTGGGAGACCCTGATAAAAATAAAGATTCTAGCCAGACATGATGGTGCACACCTATAATCTCAGCACTCAGGAGCCTGAGGCAGGAGGATCGCTGCAAGTTCAGCTACATAGTGAGTTCAACGCAAGCCTGAACTACATAGCAAGATCCTATCTCAAAAAAAAAAAAGGAAAAAAAAAAAGTGGCTTCTGAGCCAGTAATGACAATACACACCTGTAATCCTAGCTATTTAGGAAGCTGAGACAGAAGAATTGGCTAGGAATGTGAGGCTATCTTGGGCAACAACGAGACCCCATCTTGAAAAATAAAAAAAAAACAAGCAGGAGTCTCTGATTCTCATCTTCCATACAGTATTTTCTCCTTGTCATGTGCATCAGACTTACCTACAAGGACTTGTATCTGATAGCATTTATCCAACCACTTTCATACCAGAAGGAGATGCATAACCACTGAAAATAATAAATTTAAGGAGTATTTGACAAGGGAAAGTATCTATGAAACAAGATTAAATGAAAAAACATGACAATTTTTATACATGGTTTCGGTTTTTATAAAAACAAAGCCAGGCTATGGTAGCTTTTCCTCACACTAGCCCACTCTGCTTTCTCTAGGGTGTACTTTTATCGTGATGTTTCCTCTTTTACTCAGCCCAAGCTTGCTCTGCAGAGCCAGTTTCTCCCCTACTCTTCACTTTTATTTTCTTGAATAGACTTGGCACCTGCTGTTCTGAATAAATAAATACAAAGTCAGGAGCAATCTCTTTGTTTGTATATGTGATTACATACCAAAAAAGCCAAAGGGAAATTAATAAAAACTTTACAGTGTGTTTTTTAAATCACTGAATGGCTTGATTATGAGTGATTTTAATTTTCTTCTTTATACTTTTCTGTGTTCTCTTAATTTTTTACCGTAAACATACATTGCCTAGTTTTAGAATTTTTCAGTTTGAAATATTTCATATATAGGAAAGAATATATATGATGAAAACATATACATAGTGTATTTAGAATAACCAAATGAATACCCCTCCACTCATGTTTCAACCAAAGAAATAGAACATTATTCAGATTACTGAAATAGCCTGTTTTTACCTGTGCCAGAAGAAAGAATGTAAATATTCTGAATTTGTTTTTATCAGTTTTACTTCACATGTATGTATCTTTCAAAATTATTGTTCTTTAATGTATCTTTAAACTTTATATAAATTATATTATCTGTGTATTTTCTGTTGTAGCTTGCTTTCCTCCCACTCAACCTAATGTACTCATTTTTACTATTGTGTAACTTTCCATTCTGTGATTATGTAATCACCTATTTTTTCAATTGATGGACACTGGATTGTTTATAGTTCTTTACTATTAAAAAAATGTTGCTAAGAATATTGTTATCCATGTATACTGATATGGATGTGCTAAAGCATCTCTTAGATTCAAGTATGTACCTAGATACAGAATTCCTGATTCATAGGATATAGTCATTTTCAACTAATGGTTAATTTTCCAAAATTATTTAATAATACAGCCTCTCAAATGTAGTGTGTTACAATTCTTGTTTCTTCACACATTTGCCAATATTTGATAATGTGTTTCTTTTTTTATCGGAAATGGCAGTGACTTAAACACATACTTCATAAGAAAACCAGTCTTAGGAGCTTTTCATTAAAAAATATAAGTTGTGTGAGTGTCTCGGTGACACAAGGCTGTGTGTCCCTGCAGGTATGCCAACAGCAGCCTCATCAAGTATATGGAGAAACACAAGGTCAAGCCTGACAGCAAAGTGTTCCTTCTGGTAGGTGCTTCTCTCCCAGACTGAATCCCGTCTTAGCAAACACTCATCTAATCCTGTTTACTGGGGAATTGTCCCCACTACTCCTTCTTTAGAAATAAAAGAAATTGGTGGATACTGGGATGAAATTAAGTATTTCGCTTAAGATGCCAACCTTTACTTCTGGTCTTAAATTTTTAAATGATTTATCAGCAGAAAAAAGACTTTAAAGGGGCTGCAATCCTGCTGATTTCTGCCATTTAAAAAAGTGAAGACATTGACTTGTACAGATTTCCCATGTGCTATCAATTTCTTATGTATTTTTTCTAGCTTCAGAAACTCCTTACCATGGATCCAACCAAAAGAATTACCTCAGAGCAGGCTCTGCAGGACCCCTATTTTCAGGAGGATCCCTTGCCGACGTTAGAGTATGTATGCACCTTCCTCTTCAGATGGTGGCTGAGAGCAAGGGTAGCTCGCACTTGTTACTGAAGTACTTTACTTTCGTCATTAAGACTGGTAAAGAGAAAGGGCCAGTGTTTTTAAACAGGCCAAGCGACAGAGAGATGTGAATAAAAATAGGTGATATAGTCAGCTTTACAGATGAAAACTAGAGCTGAGAACAAATGGGATTTTATAAATCAGAGATTAGACCAAATGAGTAGGGAATGGTAGAATTAAATTCTGTCTTCGGAGCATGTCCACAGTGCTACAAGACCTCTACTCTTTAACCTTTATTTCACTCAAGTATATACTGTGTGCTTGTATTTGTGAATGGTACATTTTTTTTTCCTTGAGGGGAAAATTTTTTTTCTTGTTGATGCCAATATGGATTCATTTATTTTTGGTGCTAATGAAATTGATGTGGAAGAAATTCTGTCATGTATGTCACCTCATGGCAGTTGTGATTTGAAATTAAAAGTGGCGATTGGTGTAGAAATTCAGTTAATGAATGAATTGTTCTTTTCTTAATGCTCACATTTAGTCGTTTTGGGAAGCATCCAGCAATCACCAGCCACAGATGAAGTGTAAGAAATAAATGAAAAAGAAAAAGTAGAATTTTTAGGTAACAAAGTAATGATGTTATAGATTATAGGTCATGACTTGTTTGTTTTCAATGATTTTTTTAGTGTGTTTGCTGGCTGCCAGATTCCGTACCCTAAGCGAGAATTCCTTAATGAAGATGAACCTGAAGAGAAGGGTGACAAGGTATGAACTGCATGGCACACTTGGACAGTCAGAGAATATTGTAGGCAAAAAGATAAGGAAAGATAATTCCTATATGTTCATCTGCTCTTAGTTCTATGTTTATTTTACGTTTGCCTAATAAGCTCTTCTACTCCCTGAGCCCCAAGCCTCGCCCCGTGTGTTTATTCGTGTCATTACTATCATATCATGCAAGCTGGCTTTTGTAGGTACCTTCACTGGCTGTGTCAGCCCCCTTCGCACACTCCAAGATCATCATTCAGAGGACATCTTACAGATGTTTTAATGAGCACAAACAGTTTCCTTCCTGTGTGCCTTCTGGCCTTCGGTGAAATGTTTGGGGCCGGTTTGGAGGGTTACTGTACAATCCCAGAGAACACATCCTGTTCAGGGCTCAGGATGTTGACCCGTTTTCTAGTCATTCCTCTGACGCAGTTACCTGGTAGTTTGCCCCCCAGCTGGGTCAGCACTCTCATGTGCATATCACGTAATGAAAGAAATGTCCTATCCGTTGGTTTCATACCAGACTTGCTTTGTTTTTTTCCCATGACAGAATCAACAGCAGCAGCAGAACCAGCATCAGCAGCCCACAGCCCCTCCACCACAGGCAGCGGCCCCTCCTCAGCCCCCACCCCAACAGCAGAGCAACACCCAAACCAATGGGACCACGGGTGTGGTGGCGGCTGGCGTAGGAGGTGCAGCAGCAGGGCTGCAGCACAGCCAGGACTCCGGCCTGAATCAGGTGCCTCCGAACAAGAAGCCACGGCTTGGGCCTTCAGGCGCAAGCTCAGGTGGACCTGTCATACCCTCTGACTATCAGGTGTGCCCTTAAGTTTCCTCCTTCTTAATGTACATGTGTCATAATGGGAAGTAGACTTTTCTTTTTTTGATACCAGAATCGAACTCAAGTCCTCGCACTTGCGAGGCTGTGGAACCACTGAGCTAAATCCACGGCCCTGGGAAGTAGACTTTTAATATAGCCTTTTGGAATTCAGTAATTATCTTACTGGAGATTGAACCCTGGCCTTCACATGGAGCTATGTCCCCAGCTCTTTTTATTTTTTCAGACAAGGTCTCATTGAGTCATTAAGTTGCCCAGTTAAGTGCCAAACTTATTTGTTTGCTTGTATTAGACAGGGTCTCGCTATGTAGTTCAGGCTGATCTTGAACTCAACTATGTGTATATCCTAGGCTGGCCTCAAACTCAACCATGATCCTCCTGCCTCAGATTCCTGAGTGCTGGGTGGGATTGCAGCATGCATCATCACACCCAGGTTGGGCTAGGGTCAAACTTGTGCTGCTCCTGCCTCATCTTCCCAGAGTGCTGGGATTATAGGTATACACTACCACACCTGGCTGAGAATTAAGTAGATCTTTACGCTACCATTTTGATGTAAAAATTGTACAGTTCTGCTCTGGGGCATTGTATGAAAATGATAATTTTTATTATATTTCATGTAACTTCAAGTTATTTTGTGCCCTGATTTGTTTATCCTTATAATCTGGGGAGAAAAAAAATAGCCAGGTAGATCTCTCCTTTCTTTCTTTTTTCTTTTCTTTTTTTTTCCTTTGAAGCAAAACATTTATTGGTCCTTTTTGTTTTTTGTTTTTTTGGTACCAGAAATTGAACTTGGGCTGTGCTTGCCAGGTAGGTGCTGCACTGTTGAGCTACATTTCTGGCCTGGTACATTTTAGGTTTACATAATGATAAACTTCATCGACAACTTCTTTCTTAAAGGAAATTCATTATTTTACCCATGTAGTTGCCTGTTAACTGTGGATCAGAAAAGCACACCTACATAATAAGCATTGAAAAGGGAAGGGCATGGGCTGAGGTTGTGGGAATACACACCTGTCCTTTTACCATTTTGGGAGGCTGAGGCAGGAGGATCTCAAGTTCAGGCCCATCTTGGGCAGCTTAGTGACTTTAGCAAGTCCTTTTCTCAAAATTAATTTTAAAAAAGGCTAGAGATGTAGTCAATGTGAAAGCCCCATGTTCAGTCACTAGAATGGCAAAAACAACACTGAAAGAAAGAAAATAAAAAATCAGAAAAAGAAGTGGCAGCTTATTTTGGACAAAGTTGATTGCATTCTTCAAATATATTTGCACTTACTGGGAGGAAGTAACCATTAAGTAACTACATAGTTACAAAAAAAAGGTAAAGACTGAGGCTTTTTAGAAATAACTATTAACTAGAAATAATTTGGGGACGAGACAGTATTTTTTGTTAGTAAGATATAAAGAAAACTGTAATTGTACTAATTTAGGAGACTAAAAGAAATGTATCTAAGGGTTGGTATTTGGAGAGAAGTAAAAGTGCCCATTGTGAGCCAGAAGTGGTGGTGCACACCTGTAATCCCATTGCACTCGGGAGGCTGAGGCAGGAGGATTGCTGTGAGTTTGAGGCCTACCTGGGCTATATAGTGAGACCTTGTCCCAAAAGCAAAACAAAAACATACCCATTGCGTTAACCTGGAAGAATCTTGCCCCCACCCCCCAATTTTTTTTTTCCCCCCGACAGTCTCAAAAGAACTAGGAGGAAGGGAAAGCTTAAATAACATTAAATAAAAAGAAAAAAGATTTAGAACGCATCCTTCAGGAAATTGGAAGAAGAGAAGCATTTAGGTTAGAGCTAATAGAACACAAAATCTCAGGCAAGGGAGTCATAAACTCACTGATAGAAATTGAAATAAAGGGAAACATTAGCAAGAAAGACAATCAGTAGCAGCCTAAGCTTGCTTTACATTTTGAATATCTCAACAAAAAATGTGTTTTCACACAGTTACTTCTCTGAGAAGCTCTTATCACAGATCCCCTATCCTCAGAAGGGTGTGTTACACTTCCTTTTGGTTCCATTTAAGTTAGTCCAAGTATCTGTTTGATTTACTAAAAAACTTACGTGGGTAGCCGACATGAACATACTTGAATTTGTTATAAACTTGGTTGTAAATTAATTTTCCCCAAAACTTCAGTTTATCCCAATGATATGAGCAACATATGTTCACTGTATATTGTTTCATTTCCGTGTCTCAAATTGTATCAACCCTTGTTACGGAAAAAATCGTTAAAGGCAGCTGGGCATTGGTGGCATACATCTAATCCCAGCAACTTGGGAGGCTGAGACAGGAGGATTGAAAGTTTGATTCCAGCCTGGGCACTTAAGGACATGTCAAGACCCGGCCTCAAAATAAAAAATAAAGGGCTAAGATCTGAATCAGAAGCCTAGGGATAAAAATGGTATATACCTCAGTCATCTCCTTTTCCTCTTTCTTTCTAGCACTCTAGTTCTCGCCTGAATTACCAAAGCAGCGTTCAGGGATCGTCTCAGTCCCAGAGCACACTAGGCTACTCCTCCTCATCTCAGCAGAGTGCGCAGTTCCACCCGTCTCACCAGGCCCACCGGTACTGATCCACTACTCCACCTGGCCTGGCCAGCCCAGAGCACAGACTCCAGCAATACAATGTCTGCGTTGCAAAGAGCCCCAGAGTGCAAAGTGTGATGCCAGTTAAAATTCACACACTTGGGAAGAGAACCTTGTGTACTGACCATTTTGGAAGAGTAACATCTTGAAGATTTTTGTGAAGTTTCCCAATCTCCCTTTCCCGCATGTGTTCATTGACTTCTCTGATAAAGCGTCTGATCTAATCCCAGCACTTCTGTAACCTTCAGCAGCTTTTGAAAGGTTTCCTGGTGCACCTTTCTCATGCTGTAGCAATCACTATGATTTATCTTTTCAAAGCTCTTTTAATAGGATTTTAATGTTTTAAAAACAGGATTCCAATGGTGTATAGTTTTATACTTCATGAACTTTCGCAACGCAGGTAAAAATGTACCTTTTAAAGCACTACACAGTTTTCACAGACTCTGTTTTGCTCATGGAAATCTTAAACAGAAATTGTTACTGTCCTGAAGTACTTTGTTATTGTGTTTTATTTATCTGGTTTCAGGGAAGGTCTAGTAAAAGACAAGCTGTGGAACAGAGGGAACCTACAACCAAAACCAGCCTAGATCTTCGTAGTTACTATGCTTTATGCTATGAAGAATGGCATATGTGATTTTTATATGACCATTTGTACAGAATTTAGTTACCAGAATCATCATGTTCTGAATAGTATTCAGTAATTAGGAATTACAGTTTTAACCTTCATGTAGCTAAGTTTACCTTAGAAAGGGTTTCAAGAGCTTTGATGAAATATAGTCCTCTGGTGACCCACACCAGAAAGCTGGAGAGAATATTAACTGCACTAGGATTACTTTAAGGAGTAATGTTTATCAAAGGATGCATTACTTCCCCTTGAAGGAAGAGCTTTTAGTCTGTATTGTATGTAAATTTGGCTTCTCTGAAGAAACTTGCTTTCTTCAGTTTCTTCACTTCTGTGTTGAGGTAACTTTCTTACATAACCAAGAATACTCAAATAGAAGCCTGCAAATTCATATGCTTTTAAAGTAAAGAGCAGTGTTCTCTATTTGTATTTGCATTAGACATAGACTATTTTTAAAGCATGTTAAAAGTTTAGATTTTATACATGTTTAAAGTATGTATTATGTATGCATAATTTTGCTGTTGTGACTGAAACACTTATGTCAAGAATCTTTTCATTGCACTGAATCTTTCTTTTGCCCGTAGGAGAAAACTTAATTGTGCCTAAAAACTGTGGGCAGATAGTGTAAGGCTATACCAGTTAAGGTGATATTTTCATTTTGATTACCTTTGAGTTAGAGGTTGAGTTCTCTCTTAGCCACTATAAGGAGCCCCTCACTCCCAGGGCCAAAAGAAAATGTAAGGAGGGCTGGGGATTTAGCTCAGTGGTGCTGCCGCCTGCCTCTCAAGTGCAAGGTCCCAAGTTCGATCCCCAGTACAAAAAGATGTAAGGACTTAGAGCTCCCATTGCAATGTAAGGGGCAAAAAATATTGTGTTCTTCTAAATGCTACTTGCAGCACCAGCCTTGTTAATGTTTTCTTGAGCTAGAAGAAATAGCTAATTGTTGTATATGCAAATTATATGCATTTTTAAACTATTCTTTGTGAATTTATCTACCTGGTTATGATACTCTGGGTCCATATACAAGTAAAATATGATTTAAGACAGAAGCCAGTATACATTTTGCACTATTGATGTGATACTGTAGCCAGTCAGGACCTTACTGATCTCAGCATAATAATGCTTAGTATTGATAATAAGACTCTAATGACACTCATCAAGACTGAAGATAAAGCAGTTGACATGCTCCATTGGAAGGAATTTCTGATCATTTCCATGGTATTTAACCCCTTTTGCTATTTAACGTAAGAAATTAACCTCCTTGCATGATGTTTGTATAGTTATCTATACAAAGTTCTGTCCTATGCCTGGAAGCCTCTCTGTCCAGAGCTGCTGGTCAGCGGGTGCTCCCTGTGCCCTCACCATGTGCCCAGTGCTCTGCTGGCTGGAAAACACAACGGGCAGGACATACTTGGTGTCCTTTGGGAGCTGATGGTCACTTCAGTGACACCAGGCTCTCCTGGGAAGTCTATGACATGAGAGTGACTTAAAATAACACAAAGGTCCTTTTGTTTACTTCTAAATCCACTGGGATAGTTATTCTTCCAAATTCTAAAGTAAACAGTGTTATGGAGAAGTTTCTGTGTCTGTCCATGTTAGGAGAAAATGATTTAAGTGTCACAAAAGGAATTCCTGTATATTTGAAATGTTCACAGCAGCCTTGAACAATTAATTGGGTGGCCCTGGTAGGCAGAGCATTCTCTACAAAGTGATTGTAGGAATTGACAGTTAAAACACAGCTCTGTTCTTGACATGAGGAAAGCTTACATTGAATAAAAGAAGAAACCCCAAATATGTATATAAGCCGAGACACAATGCCCCTTAATACTTTATGTAATTTTAATATGTAATTCTTAGGATATATGCTTATGCATTGACAGAACTACCCTGCTTTCCTTGTACATAAAGAATTTTACTGGTAGAACTGACACAATTATAAGGGGGTTTTGTCAGTTGCTCCCAGTGCACAGTATTCTCCAGGACGTAGCCAGAGGTCCCCGTTACATACACGACTGGGTTTCTTATCCCTGCACTGTTTCTGCCCCTTTTCTCCTCTTCTTGCCTCAGGGTTGGTGATGCCTACTGTTGCCCATTACGCTTTGAAATGGTTTTGGTTAGGAATTTCCTTTCTCTGTAAAGGGGAACAAAGCTTTCCACACATAAGGGCCCTGGACTATGGGACCTCCAAGGAGACCTGTAAAGCTTTCTGAAGGCAAGATTTATTGCTGAGGTCCCCAAATGACTACAGTCTAACGGTATATTACATCCCCAAGGGTGCAGGGGGCGCATCCCTCAGCCTGCGGGAATACCTGGACCAGGGGAAGTATTGAAAGGAAGGAGTAAAGCCAAGGGAAGGTTTTCTGCTCTTGATATTACAGATCTATTTTAGGGTTAGCTTGCTAGTGAGATGTGTGTTTGGGAAAAGTGATTCAAGAGTACAGGACAGGGGAACTCAGAATAAGGTAGCTTGGTGGCAGGGCTGATCCTGTGAGGCTGAACAATCCTTGTAATGAAGTAGATCATGCAGTGAGGTGCAAAAACCAAGGGCGTGTATATTTTTATATCTGTGGTTTTGAAACGTTAGTACTTAGAATGTTGGCCTTCTGTACTACTCTTTTGCTCTCATAGTTTACTCTCCAGAACAGGAAAGGACAATGTGGATGTCTGCGTTCACTGGTTCATTCCTGGTGAGCAGCTGTTGGTGGTTCTCTGTGCCTCTAAAGTGATGCTCTTTTCTCTGATAAAGGTACAAGAGAAAAAGTAGTTGGAGAAAAAGACTTGGAACTTGATCTGTTTTGAGTAGCAGAAACTATACAATGAAGGATGAATTCTATGAAAGTTGCAAATCTCACCATGTGGTGATATCTTCCTAAGGGATAGAAAAGGCACTGACATGGCCATTAGATTAACAGAGGCTTGAAGGAGTCAAGTACATAATATTTTATATAAAACATAGCATTTTAGGTCTCCATAATCTTCAAGAATAGTCACAAATATAAGACAAAGGTTATTGTTACAGGATTTTTAAAAAATGTGTTGTACCTGAGGCCATACTTACTCTTCTGTGCTATCACCGTAAGGGAGTGATAGGTATGTATTATATGAAAAAATTCCTAATGCACTGTTATCTCCTAAATATTTAGTAAATTAATACTATTTAATTTTTTTAAAGCCTTGTCTGTGTAGACACTAAAAGTATTACACAAAATCTGGGCAGAAGATGTCCTTTTTAACAACAATTGAAAGTACTTTTATATATGTTATGTAGAATATCCTTTATAAACTGCCTAGTTTGTATTTCGGGTAATTCCTGTTTGTGAAGCGTACTCGTCTCTGTCTCTTTTTGAGTCACTTTCTGCACGATCCCTGTTTGTATGGCTGTAGCTTTACATGCCCTGCGGCGCATGTACTCCCAGCTCCGGTGCTTGCACAGCCCACGCTGTGGGCGCAGGATGGGCTGTGGCTTGGAAGCTGTGTTTCCCGCTTTGAGTTGTCCAGACTCCCTTCCTGAAATGACTGTTAAAATAAATTAGATTGCATTTATTTTATATTCTTGGTTGAAATAAAATCTAATTGGCTTTGTTTCTGTTTGGTTTTTTAAATGTAGAAAAACTCTTTGTAGTAAGTGCTGGTGTTAACAGTTTATCAGCGTGCCTAGAAGATTTCATAATCATACTCATCCTGCAGAGAATGTCTCCCTGTGGATTGCAATATGTTATCCTGTTCAGGGTGTTTATAGTGCCACAGAAACACAAAATAAAGCAAGATTTCTAGGTAGCTCCAAGATAAAATTAATTTTTTTCCTGAGATAAATACTTTTTAAAAATGATTAAAATGAATTTTAGGGGAAAAAAAACTACCTGCATTCTGGGGACAGGATTGGGCTGGGAAGGTCTCCTTTATGGCAGTGTTCTGTTGGACCTGGCTACCCTTTCTGTGGTTTATCTGATGAGTCTTCTATGATTATTCTAGTAATCAGAGGCATCACGGAGTCAACTAAAGAATGTTTAAGTGACATAAACACAAAACTGGCCATTTGTTTATTTTTTATTTAAAAATAAATTTTTTTTAATGTAACATAAGTAGATATTAATAAAATGTTTTTTTTAAAGTATGAAAAAGCAAAATGGTGCATCAAATTAAAGAATACATTAGTTAATACACTGTCAATCTTAGAATGGCTGAAATGGAGTACAAGTCAGACAAAACTTATGAAAAAGAAACATAGATAATAGCACAAAACTTTTCAGTGAACTAAGGAGCTAGCAGCATAAGTGAAACTGCATATCTAGAAATATTTTGAAACGATGTAATATGTAATTTGAGGAATTATAACTTCTCTCTACTTCCTATCTTCTTTTTACATGTTTAACATTTAATAGAAACTATAATAAATTTTTACTGTATTTTACATAAGATAGCCACTGCAGAAATTTATATATATTAGAAGATAGATGGTTAAGGAAGGCCCAGTCCTGTGAGGTATTAGAACATGAAAGACAGAGCTCAGTTGGGGAGAAGGGTTCAGAGTGCCAGACTAAGTGAATGTTAAAAAAGCTAAAGTGCTGGCCTTTGGGTAATAACCAGATGCTGGGACCAACAGTATTTCAAAGGTGCCGTTCTTTTACACAGCCTCCATCTAGTCATCTATGTAGATTCTTACCCAAGACTTAGGAAACACCACTCCCAGATGTCTCATATTGGGCAAAGTATCAAACATTCAATCCTGCATATAGAGATGACCTCTTCTTTCCCAAAATAGGGAGAAACCCACAACTTTTGGACACTACTGGCCTAGTCTCCCCAGGTTTAGTCCTTATTTCCACTTTCAGTTTCTCACCAGAGAAATGGCACGCAAATGTGTCTCTTACTTCACTTTTAAGAGTATGGTCTCACAGCCCATCCATTTAGCTATAAATGTCTGAAGCCCATCCTTCTTTATGGCACAGTAGTATTCCAGTGTATTTAAAAACCCCACATCTTTATCCACTCTTCAGTAGATGGGCATTTGGGCTGTTTCCAAGCTATTACAAACTGCTGCTATAAACAGGCACGCATATATTGCTGTGGTATGCTGCTTTTAATTCTTTCTGGCAAATACCAAGAAGAGGGATAGCTGGATCAAATGGAACGTCTAGTTTTAATTTTTTGACAGATCAATATATTGATTTCCACAGTGATTGTACGGTCTAAAACTCCCACCAACAGTGCAGAAGAGTTCCCTTTTCCCTACACCCACCAGCATTTGTTATTGGTTGATTTCTGGATAATAGCCATTCTTTCTGGAGATAGAATCTCAGCATTGTTTTAATTTGCATCTCTCCATTGACCAGAAATGTTGAACTTTTTTCCATACGTTTATTTGATGTTTATATTTCATCTGAGAAGTGTCTTTTCAGACAGGTGTGGTGCCACTGAGCTACATCCCCAGTCCCAATTTCAGATGCCCATTTTTGGGTTGGATATTTAAATTTGAGGGGAATCTGATTTTTTATTTGTTAGTTCTTTATATATTCTAGGTAATAGTCCTTTATCTGATGAATAGGCTGGTTAAAAAAAATTTTCCCACACTGGGTTCTCTTTACTCAGTTTTTCTTGCTGTGCAAAAAGCCTTTTAGTAAGACAAGGTCCCGGTTGTTGATTCTTTGTTGTATTTCTCTTGCAATCTGGATTTTGTTTATGAAGTCTTTGTTCACTCCTATTCCTCAAGCATTCTGCCTATTCTCTCTTCCAGTGAATTTAGTGTTTAAATTTTTAATATTTAGATCTTTAATCCATTTGAATTTTGATGCATGGTAAAAGATAAGGGTGTAATTTCATTTTTCAGCATGTGGAAAGCCGGATTTTCTAGTACCACTTATTAAAGAGACTATTTTTCTTCCAGTGAAGGTGTTTGGCTCCTTTGTCAAAAATTAGGTGGCTGAATATGTCTGGACTTGTTTCTGCATCTTCTAGTCTGTTCCATTGATCCTCAGGTCTGATCTTTTGCTAGTACCATGCTGTTTTTTTGTTTTGTTTTGTTTTGTTTTGGTTTTTAGTTTCTATGTAGTTGAGACTGAGCTGGAACTCACTATGTAGCCCAGGTTGGTCTCAAACTCACAGCGATCCTCCTGCCTCAGCCTCCCGAGTGCTGGGATTACAGGCATGCGCCGCCACACCCGGCACCATGCTGTTTTTATCAGAGTAGCTTTGCAGTATAATTTCAGCTCAAGGATTGTGATACCCTCTGCCTTGTCCTTGTTGCCCAGAATTGCCTTTGCTAGTCTAGATTTCTTCTGGTTCCAAGTGAATTTTATGATTATTTTCTCTAATTCTGTGAGATATGCTGGTGGAATATTGATTGGGATTACATAAAATCTGTATAACAATTTTAGAAGTTTGGCCATTTTCACTATATTGGTTCTTCCTAGTCAAGAAGAAGGTATATGTTTCCATTTTCTGGTATCCTCTTCAATCTCCTTTTCCAAAGTACTGTAGTTTTCAATGTAGAGCTCTTTAACTTCCTTCATTAGATTTGATTCCTAGGTGTTTCATTTTTTGGATGCTATTGTGAAAGGGGTTATTTCTCTAATTTCTCAGTGTGTTTTATACATGTAGGGGAGGCTATTGACTTTTCAGTGTTGACATTGTATCCAACTACACTGAGTTTTGTTATCAAATCTAGAAGTCTTTTGATGGAATTTTTGGGATCTTCTATATAGAGTCATCTTCAAAAATGTTAATTTAACTTCCTCCTTTACTGTCATTATTCCTTTTATTTCTTTCGCTTGTCTAATTACCCTGGCTAATGTTTCCAAAACTATATTTAACAAGAGTGGTGACAGTGGACATCCTTGTCTTCTTCCTGATTTTAAGAGTGAAAGGTTTCTGTTTCTGTCCATTTAGTATAGTTTGCCATAGATGGCTTTTATCATATTGAGAGAAAGACCATTTATACCATTTTTCTATAGGGTTTGTCATAAATTGGTGTTGGGCCTTGTCAAGTGCTTTTTCCTCATCTGTCAAGATGATCATGTGGTTTTTGTCCTTGCCTCTGTTTATAGTGTATTACATTTATTGATTTGCATATGTTGAATCATCACTGCATCCCTGGGATGAATCCTTCTTGGTCATACATAATATGTAACATTCTTGATGATTCACTGTATTGTTTACCAGTATGTTACTGAGGTTTTTTTGTATCTGTGTTTGTTAGGAAGGTAGGCCTGTAGTTCTCTTTTTTGATTGGATCCTTCTCTGGTTTTGTAATCAGGGTAATACTTGCTTCCAGGAATGAATTTGGGAGTATTGCTTCCCTTTCCATTTCATTAAAGAGTTTGAGAAATAGTGGTATTAGGTCTTCTCTAAATTTCTTGTAGAATTCAGTGAATCCATCAGGGACTGGGCTTATTTTTGTTGGTAGGTTTTTAATTACCTCTTCAATTTTATTGGCTGATATTGGTTTATTTAGAATTTTTACATATTTTTTATTCAGTTTTGGTAATTCATATGGATCTAGGAATCTGTTCTTTATGTTCCATCTTATTAAAATACAGGTTCTTGAAGGTAGGTATTGATGATCTGGATTTCTGCAGAGTCTGTTGAGATTTCACCCTTTTCATTCGTAATTGCATGGATTTGTCAATTTTATTTAATCTTTCAAAGAACCAATTATTTGATTCATTGATTCTTTGTATTGCTTTTTTAGTCTGCATTGCATTAATTTCTGGTCTGATTTTTACAATTTCCTCCCTTATATATGCAAGCTTTGGGCTTGACTTGCTCTTCTTTTTCTAGAAGCTTGAGGTTCAACATTAGGTTTTTTTTTCAATGTGAGCCTGCTCTGTTTTCTTGATATGAGTGTTCACTGCTATGAATTTCCAGCATAGGACTGCTTTCATTGTGTCCCATAAGTTCAGGTATGTTGTACTGTCACTATCATTCAATTGTAGAAACTGTCTGAGTTCTTTAATTTCATCTGTGATCCATTGGTTGTTCAGGGGGGTGTTATTTAATTTCCATGTGTTTATGAAGTTCTTGTGGTTTCTTTTGATGTTGATTTCCAATTTCACTGCACAATGGTCTGATAATATGCATGGGATAATTTCAGTTCCTTTGCATTACTTAAGCATGCTCTATGAGGTAGTATGTGGTCTCTTTTGTAGAAAGTCCCATGTGCAGCTGAGAAGAATGTGTATTCTGATGTGGGGTGGAATACTGTAGACATCTACTAAGTTTATTTGTTCAATATTTAGTTCAGCTCTAATATTTCATTGTGTGTGTGTGTGTGTGTTTGTTGTTGATCTATTTATGACCATAGTATATTGAAGTCCCCCGTTAAAATTGCTTTAGTGCTTATTTGATTTTTCATGTTGATTACTCTTTGTTTCCTATAGTTGGGTGTACTGCTATTTGGTGCATATATATTTATGATGGTTATCTCTTCCTCTTGGATTGTTCCCTTTACAAGCATGTAGTGACCTTCTTTGTCTCTCGTAGTCTTGGTGTGAGATCCAGTTTATCTGAAAATATAATAGCTACCTCTGCTTTTTTCTGGGTTCCTGTCACATGGAATGTTGTTTT